ATTGATTTCAAGGTAAATGGGCTGGGCTTGAGTTAGTGATTCGCGTCATGTTGCCGTAAAAACGTGGTGCTGTTGAACTAGTTGCCTTCTCAGTTTGTCACTTCCTTAACATTGTTATAATGTGACGGTCAATCCCACTATTCGTTGGTAAAAGAGTAACCCGAGAGTTGGCGGTGGGTGGTGATGACTAGCTGCCTTCCCTCTAGTCTTACACTGCCAAATTAGGGACGGCTAGCGCAGATAGCCCTTGTGTAGCTTTGCGCGAAATTCAAAAACAAAACAAAACCAAACAACTACATACTGTATTTATTTATGGTTCTGTAATTTCCATCAAATTGTATTATATGTACATGTTTGCTTCACTTGTCAGGGTTCGAAATATTTTTTTCAAATAATTTCACTTCGAAAAATAGTTTCGTGATAAAGTTATATACTACTTTTCAAAGTCAGAGTTCCTGTATAATCATTTAAATACCACACGATAGAAAAATATAGTTTAAATTAGAAATTTTGATAATTAAATTATATACACATATATATTTTCTTTTTGCAAGAAAAACTTTTATGTGAGAGAACTCGGGTTCTTCGGACGTTCTACTGTACTTCTCTTTAATTCTGTTTATTTCAGTCGTTGTGTTTAATGTTGAAATTGTGTTTATAGATATTACACGCTTTCGACAGGGCCATATTACACAGTTAATATTACTCGCATGTATACGATAAAATGATTCAATTACAAAAATATGCCCTAAAGATGCCTAATAAATATAATTAATTGTGATTTAAAAGATAGTTGTATAATGATTCAAAATGTTATTTATTTATGTATAAAAGAGCATTAATTTATCATTCAGAACTTCTGCTTGTTTCAAATATATATAACTTGGATGTATAGGCCCGGCATGGCCAAGTGGTTAGGGCGCTCGACTCGCAATCTGAGGGTCAAGAGTTCGAATCCCCGTCACACCAAACATGCTCGCCCTTTCAGCCATGAGGCGTTATAATGTGACGGTCAATCCCACTATTCGTTGGCAAAAGAGTAGCCCAAGAGTTGGTGATGACCCTCTAGTCTTACACTGCCAAATTAGGGACGGCTAGCGCAGATAGCCCTCGTGTAGCTTTGCGCGAAATTCAGAAACAAATAAACTTAGATATAATGATAACTGTGAAAAGTTGAAAGTTATTCTGTTCTTTAATGAGTGAATATGGATTGAGAACCGATATTTTTTTCTAACTGAACGTTTTCATGTACAGTTCTGCAGCATTCCCAGGTTCTCTCATTACTTACAGGAAGAAGTAGCGCCACAAATAACTAGAGGCTCTTACAGGATAAGAAATAAGGAGTTGATACTGGAAAGTTTAGTTGACCGAGTTAAAGATGAGTGCACGAAGATGGCAGACAGCATCTTTCTCTTACTGTTCAGATGAAAATGAAAACTTGAAAGTATAATGTTATACATACAAAATAATATATTATCCTTCTCAGAGCGCAGGCGCTAAAGACTTTACTGGTCATCACAATGTTGAAAATAAGGAGAACGTCGCCTCCAGACATTTCTAAACTTAAACATAGTGGTATCGCTAGAGAAAGATACAAAATTAAATGTAGGTCTCCAACAGCAATATCTAAAAAACGCCCTAAAATATTCTTGATTGTGTGTAACGAGCTCATGAAATAAGGTTGTTGTTGCACATAGCTGATTTGCTGCATATAATGCGTATATCAGAAGAAGAAAAATGTAAACAGTTTACTTTTCGAAGCTAAAAAGAGAAATACAAAATATGGTACTTTTCTCTCTAGTTTTAAAACATGAAGAAACCCTTGCACCGGCTATATTGTTAAATGACCAAAGACTTTTATATTTAATTTTGGGTAGCACCTCGTCGAATGAAGATATTTTGACGCAAAATACAAGGCGAAACGGCAAGGAATATCAAAATTTTCTAATAAAATCAATTCCACAAAAGCTGTATATTTACTTTCACTCCTATTGAAATCCAAATGTTCAAACCAGGATGGTCGGGAACTGGTTGTATGCTGTGTAAAGAACACACACTCACCTGCTTTTCTAAAGTTTTTCTTCATCTGGATTCTGATAAAACTGGTAGCTAATTTACTTATAGGATGTCTTCCTCCGGATCCTGGTGAAACTGGTAGCTAATTTAGCTTATAAATAAATATATATTGTTGCTGTCGAAATATGAGAGCGGGGGGGGGGGCTGTCCCTCTGTCTCATTTGTAAATTAAAAGACGTCCACCATTTTTCAAAGGTTGTGACGCTTATACATCTGAATATTTCGAGGGATATATAAAGATTCGTTTAATATGCATACTTTTAAAGATTTTTTTCAGAAATATGTACGAGAAACTGTCTTGCGTTAATACTTTAGAAATGCGTAATTTTTAATACACGTCAAAACGTTGCCAAAATCGATGTATCCTAAATATACACGTATATTATAACAGTTAAACCAATGGTATAAATCTGATGGGTGTTCTGTCCTTTTCAACTGTGAAATATAAAACACAAGTTCACATGCTGTGAAAATCATAAACCAGACTTATCTGACGTCACTAAGTAACCGTTATCAATAAGTTTATATAAGACTAGTTTTACCGTCATTTTGTTTAGCACTACATGTAGGATCAAATTAATAATTAGTTAATTATATTGGATTAATAAAAACCATCTTAATAGATCCTGTTTAAACTTGCTAACTGTTAGAGACATGCGTAACCGTTTATGTAAAGCTTACGTGACTTATGAGTTATTAATACAGAACAGATCCTGCTTTATTTGCTAGCTACTACAGGAGAGCGTACAACTATCTTTGTAAAGTATTATAATACATAATGTTTGTGTTTGTTCATTAAGACTCATTCTTACTCCATGTTATTTTACTCCTACAATATTTTGAGGAAATTTGTTTTCATTAGAACAGTTTATTGTTCTCAGTCGTAATAAGTGTGATTCTGGTAAAAAAGCAAAATATTTGGATTTATATGGTGATGTTTTGGAAAATGTATACGAAATTGTAAAGTAATAATTTAGCCATTAATGTTTAAGAGTGATTTTTAAAGTTTTTAGATGTTACGTTTCTTTTAGTGGCAACGAGTGCTATTTTTATCACATTTATTTATTATTATAATATTGATTTGTAACAAAGCCAAAAAAGAATAAATTATTATTACAAAATCTAATATTTCGTATGTTAGCCAGGTGGCGCATGGATACCAACAGTAACATAAATATTTTAACTGTTCAACTAAGCGTTGAATTTTATTGGAGGAAAGACAACGCGAAGATTCGTCCTAATTGTAATTCTTTCTCTCTCTCTCTCTCTTTTTCTTCTTTGATATTTTTTTTAAGTGCGGCGTAAATGTTGAGATTTAACTTTGTACTCTGTATGTATTCTGTGATATTCAGAATTATTGTTATAATTATATCACAGCTGATTATAAAAGTATTATAAATAAATATATGTATAATTTCAGCACATTTTCTTACGATGATGATATGCACGTGGCACATCTCAGATTTCCCGCAACTCCCGATCGCCGAGCTCCACCTACTCCACTGTCGTCTTCGGCTCGGAAAGTATTTGGTAGTATTGAAAAAGGCTTAGATCGTATGAGAACTATGTTGACACCCCGGAAACGCCTTGGGTCTGCTTCTGGTACGGTTGATGGCCCTCGCCCAGTGAAGGTAAAACTTGTTATTCGGATATGGAAACATTGTGTATACATTTACAGCCCTGTTGACATTGGAAGGAGCATAAATATTAAAAATGAATTTATATAGCTTTAAAAAATTATATTTTTTATGAGTATTACGTAATATTAAAAATGCATAATAAGTGGCGTTAATCTAAATAGTCGACTTGTCTTTAAAGACTTATTTTCAACAGACAGTACAAGGTTTGAAAGTGAGATTTAAGCGATTATAAAAACAAGAAACATTTTAATGCCCTGTCTGTAAGGCAGAGTGGAGCATATTTGCTTACAGCTGTCCCTCCGTCCTGAACTTGTGGTGAGGATATCTCATGATTGGATGGATTTTGACCAAACTTATAAAAAAAGAAAAACGTATTACTTACCTAATTAACTTTTAAAGGTCAAGGTCAAAGTGGAGGCGTAGCCGTTTCATAAAAATATTACACTTCTTAGCTTTATTTTATACGAATCTCGAAAAGGTCTTATATTCAAGTGGTTGTCGTATTTTCGAGTTGTTGAAGATGAAAAGAAATATTGATGCATGAAATTATATATCATTTGTCGTGTAGCATATTGAGTTCGCGACTAAAAGTATTTCAATATATTAGAAGGTGTAAATCATATTTTTTTCTTAAATATTTTACATGACAAGTTATAGTTTTAAACTGCCATAAAACTATTTTGTTATTTATCCTATACATTATAACTCATTCATTTTCTTCATTCAAGAAGTTGATCGGTCAAAACGTATGAATAATAAAAGACTGGATAATTAAGGGTAAATCTAGTAGAGAAAAAAATGGGGTTTGGTATCACTTCATTAGCGGTCTCCAATATGATGAATTCGTAAAAAAATTTCTTTTTTAAAAAAATCAAGCGAAAGTTTTGCATTAAGAAGATGCTTTAGTTGGGTTAGTTCATTGTTCAAATATGAAATATGGTCCAGTGGTTAGTGTGCAAACACTGTGAAGTTAATCATGTAAACGTTAAATACATAGTCAATTTCATGTTTTGTCGTATCGGCTTTTTTTTTATCACTTCACAAAACGAAAAGGCTTAGTTGAGAAGCAATAATCACTCGCATATTTTAAGGTGTGTGAATAGAGATTTGGCGATCATATGGTCTCCAAGCCAATTACATATATACACTGAGTGGTCACAAGTAAGTAGACACCTAATTTTTCGTCATTTAACTGATTTATGCTAACTAATTTGTGTTCACAGAGCACTATGTAAATGAAAATGGTCTGCACACTAATTATCTT